GAGGAGGAGGAGGAGGAGGAGGAGGAGGAGGAGGCGGCGGAGGCGGAGGAGGAGGAGGATGATGATGATGATGATGAGGAGGAGGAGGAGGAGGCGGAGGAGGCGGATTAGGAGGAGGAGGAGGACGAGGAGGGTGCGGAGGATGAGGAGGATGAGGAGGAGGAGGAGGAGGAGGAGGCGGACCAGGAGGAGGAGGAGGAGGAAAACGAAGAAGACGCCGACTCATAATTCCACTACTACTACTACTACTACTACTACTGCTGCTGCTACTGCTGCTACTGCTGCTACTGCTGCTACTACTACTACTACTATCACTACTACAAATAATACTACTACTACTAATCCTTATTTTGATAATAACAAAACGACTCATACTATTATTAACACTAATAAATATAATGAGAATACGGCGACGAATAAAAATACTAATAACCATGCTAAGCATACTAAGACGAATGCAAATAATACGCCGATGAAGACGACGAATACGAATCAGACACTGGAGACGAAACAGACTACGAAGACTAATAATAATACGAACACGAATAATAATACGAATAAGGCGACGAATCCTAAGACGACGACGCACACGAATAAGACGAAGACGACGATGACGACGACGAATACGAATAATAACACGACTAATAAGAAGCATGCGATTACGAATACTACGACTAATACTAATACTAAGACGACTAATAAGACGAACAATACTATGACACGTAATAGGACGAGTAAGAAGATGAATCATACGAATGATACTAGTACGAACAATACGAGTACGAATGCTAATAATAAGAAGACGAAACAGAACATACTACGACGACGAATAAGAAGAAGACGACGAGGAGGAGGAGGAGGCAGATGAGGCGGAGGAGGAAGAGGAGGCGGACGCGGCGGAGGAGGAGGATGAGGAGGAGGAGGAGGAGGAAGAAGAGAAGGCGGAGGCGGAGGAGGAGGAAGAGGAGGTGGGGGAGGCAGATGAGGAGGAGGAAGAAGAGGAGGCGGAGGCGGAGGCGGAGGCGGAGGCGGAGGAGGAGGAGGAGGAGGGAGGAGAGGAGGAGAGGAGGAGGAGGAAGAGGAGGAGGAGGAGGAGAGGAGGAGCAGGAGGAGGGGAAGAGGAGGAGGAGGAGGAGGAGGAGGCAGATGAGGCGGAATAGGAAGAGGAGGGCCGGACGGAGGCGGGGAGAGGAGGAGGAGGCGGAGGAGGAGGAGGAGGATGAGGAGGAGAAGGAGCAGGAGGAGGAGGAGGAGACATAGGAGGAGGAGGAGGAGGAGGAGCAGGAGGAGGAGGAGAGGAGGAGGAGGAAGAAGAGAAGGCGGAGGCGGAGGAGGAGGATGAGGAGGAGGGGGAGGGAGGAGGCAGAGAGGAGGAGGAGAGAGGATGAGAGGAGGAGGAGGAGGCGGAGGCGGAGGCGGAGGAGGAGGTCGAGGATGATGATGATGATGATGATGATGATGAGGAGGAGGAGGAGGAGGAGGAGGAGGAGGAGGAGCATGGGGAGGAGGAGGAGGAGGAGGAAGTGGAGGAGGAAGAGGAGGGGGAGGGGGGGAGGAGAGGTAGGAGGGGGAGGAGGGGGAGGAGGGCAAGCTAGGTGCGCTCGCGTCACATCTGACGTTATAGCCCTCCTTCCCATCCTTTACCATGGCGTAGATCTCTTTCTATGCGCACAATCGGATGTCGTATCATGGCATAGCATTACATGGCATCTCATGGTGCTGAAGATCAACGCGTAGCATGACATAGCATGGCGTTACGACGCCCAGAAGTGTGGGTTTTTGCGGTCAAGCAAAACGAATCGACACCGAATGTGTAATCACTTCCGATGGTTTCTTCGGGACGCCATTTTCTAGATTTTGGGGCATCTTTGGAAAGACCGAAAACCATGCCGTGGCATGGCACTGGAAATAAGGACGCAAGAGCTGCAGCGGGAGCACGATTCGGAACGAGCGGAAGCGCGGACATGAGGCCAGCTCTGCAGCGGGAGCACGATTCGGAAGGAGCGGTGGCCCGAAAATGAAGCCAACGCCTCAGCGAGAGCAGCATTTCGAAAACAAGCCCATGCGAAAACCTGGGAATCCTGTGTGTAAGAAACGAGTACGCGAAGGGGGGCCGGCCATTTCCTGGACGTCACCAGGGGAGAGAGGAGAGTAGTATTCATATTGTGTAATTGTGGAGGGGGGGGAGGAGGGGGAGGAGGAAGGAGAGAGGGAGGAGGGAGAAGGGAGGGACGAGGGAGGAGGGAGGGAGGGAGGGAGGAGGAGGGAGGGAGGGCGGGACGGAGGGAGGGCGGACGGGAGGGAGGGAGGGGGAAGGACAAGCTAGGTGCGCTCGCGTCATATCTGACGTCCTACCCCTTCCTCCCATCCCTTACCATGGCGCTGATTTTCTCTATCCGCGGACGCGTGTCGTAGCGGACCTGTGGCTCCGCGCGCGCGTGCGTATGGGTGGTGGTGCACGTGCGTGCGTGCGTGCGTGTGTGCGTGGTTGTCGTGGTGG